GCCACCAGATCCAGTCTGTATCCAGATCAGATGGTCACTGCAGTCACCCGGAACCAGTACGTATCCAGACCAGGGGCCAGTTGCATAAACTTAGCCACCATCTTAAGACTGTGTCTTAAAAAATAGTTTGACCAACTAGCAGTTGCCAAAGGGTGATCAGTCTTACTTTTCCAATACAAATAAGACCAATCTACCTTTTCATAATTGAATTAAAAAAGCTATGACCAGTCTTGAAGAAAAACAATTAGTTGGCTAACTTTTTAAGACTAGTCTAAACCGTTTATGCAACCGGCCCCAGGACAACTAGATGAGCCTCAGATACAGATCCTCAGTAAAGACCTTGTCTCAAACGGCCACCGGAACAAGACCACAGGAGTCAGTTGAGTCCTCTGCACAATGTGACTTTGCTGCAGCCTGGAATTGAACTGCTGGTTTCGTCTGGCCAGAGGAGAACTGGCCCCCCGACTGAGCCTGGTTTCTCCCAAGGTTTTTTCTCCATTCTGTCACCGATGGAGTTTTGGTTCCTTGCCGCTGTCGCCTCTGGCTTGCTTAGTCGGGGACACTTCATTTCCAGCGATATCATTGACTTGATTGCACAGATATAATTTAAACTGAACTGAGCTGGATGATGACATCACTGAATTCAATGATGAACTGCCTTTAACTGAAAAATGAGTGTTTACTATTGTCACTTTGCTTTAATTAATGCTTTACAGTTGCTTTGACACAATCTGTATTGTTAAAAGCGCTATATAAATAAAGGTGCCTTGGCTTGACTTGACATCCGTCACGCAACTTCATTTCCAGGCAGCCTGATAAAAAATAAAAAAAACACAGATATGACCTTATTTCCAGAAGTTGCTCAGAGTCGGCCAATCAAATTAGTGCTTGCCAGTTTAAGAAAGTACTTTCCAGTATGTCTGCAATAACTGCAATAACTGTCTGTGGGATTAGCCAAGATTAGCTTTTGTTCACTGCAAGATCTTCAGTTGAGTTTGTTTCACATCTTGTCTAATTCTATTGAATTTACACAGTTACGTTTCCACTTCACAGGTTTTTGGGACTGTGTAGAATGTTGTGGGACAGAGAATGGAATCTGAAAAACAGAATTCCTGTTCCTGCTTTGTTTGGATTTCCTGCAGTGTGAAGCCTGTTGGTCTTTAAAAAAATGTTTCTTGATGTCTGAATGCCTCAAATCAACTGGAATCTCTTTAATCTGCCCAGTAAAATTCTACCACAATTGTTTATGTTTATAGTTCATATTATTTCATTTATTTAAAGCCATAAAGAGAGAAATCTTTAAGAAAAAATTATAAAATAAAAAAAAAAACAGTAAAATAAAAAAAGTTAAATGCATGTTCAGTCTCTGAGTTTCTCTAAATTTCACTTTGACCCACTACTCCAATTTTAAGTCATGACATCCTGATTTAGTTGCTGTCCAAAGGTCTGTTTGTATTTGTGAAGAAATAGATTTTGGAGCACTGCTAGCTGGAAGGGCCTTGGCTTATGTAATTAAAAAAAAAAGTTCTTAAAAAAATTATAGTCCAAAGCACTTCATAAAAGTCAGTTTCAGTTTCATTTTGGCTTGCAACGAAGTGAACAGGAACAGACAACACGTGAATTTTTTTTTTTTTTACTTGTTAATAATTGCCAAGTGAAATTAAAATATAGGTTTTTATGTCAAATTACGTGCCTCAGTTTTCAATATTCAGTT